AGGAGGAAGTCGTTTTGGGTTGATTCCCGTGTTTTCCATTTTTGGCTGTGTTTGTGAAGGAAACGCGGAAAACGGCTTTTTGGCCGTTTTCCGTTTTCTTCACAATTTTTTTTTTCGTTTTCGAAAATCTGTTTTTGAAAATGACGAGGAGAACGCGTTTTCGCCATTTTGAAAAATCGAAAATAGAAAATGATTTGAAAACGGCAAAGATAACGGCACCTAATTTCTCCATAGCAATTCAAGAAGCCAAATGCATAGCCAATATTTCTCTTCCCATGGTGTTCACAGGATTGTTACTGTATTCTCGGTCTATGATATCCGTGCTCTTCCTCGGCCGTCTTGGCGAGCTCTCATTGCTCCCTACAAGTCTTCATCATTGGTCACCCGGTTTTGGAGTTCTCCCCCCATTACCTACAACAGAAACAGAGAATAAAATAGTGAGGCAAGCAAAAATAATGAATGAATTTCAACAATTAAAAAGCCCCTGTTGTGAAAATTTGGCCGTTGAGTCAAGAAATAGCCATGAAGGTCAAGAATGTGAAAATTCGTTAAATAATGTTCAAGAATGTGAAGATTTGGAAAGGTGGCGCTGGAATTGTGTTGGTGTTGTGGTGCCGTCATTTTGGGGGTTTTAGTTTGGGGTGGGGTTTTTATTTCAGTATTTGATTTTAGTTTTTTTTATATGAAATAAAATGTAAAGCTACAATTTTGCCCTCAAAAAATTAGTCAACAATCGATCGAGCTTTTAATTTTTGATCAACTAACGGTCAAACTAACGATTTTTGTCAATTTGGACTCCCGGTGCGAGTTTTTTAAAGGCTTGGTACCGTAGGTGGTGCAAATGAAAGATCTGAGCAAAATCTGCAACTACATGAAAAGCAAAGTATCCCTATAAAAAAGTGAAATTGTGTTATTTTTTTAATATAAAAAGTGACATGACATCACTTTTTAAAGTCAAATATCACATGTTTTTTTTTTATTAAAAAGTAGGGGTGGGCACGGGTCGGTTCGGTCCGATTCGGTTCGGGACTTTTGGACACCCCTACATAGAAGCAGATCCCGAAACTGTATAAGTTGCATTTGTGATCATATGGATTGCCAATTAAAGACCTTGAAATAAAAAATATAAACTATCAAAAAAAATATGCTTTTAAGTTTAGCCAAACAATCTTAACTGGTATTAAAAAATATAATTTTTCCCCTTGTACAATCATTAATGAACTGTAAAATGTACCGCCCTGACTGATTAGCGTGTACAGTCATTAATCGGTGGGGCCCATGTTAATCAGTCGGGGCTGTAAAATTTACAATCCATTAAAGATTGTACGTGCAGCATCTTTCTAAAAAATAACAAAGTGTGCTAGTTCTTCAGGTCATCTCGACAAAGTTTGCAGCTTCTACACTTAAAATGCCAAAATCAGTGATTTTTGACTCTTCCTTCTTTTTGAAGGAGTATATTTTCTATCTTCACGTCTGTGAAATACTTTCAAAGAATGCATGTAATTCAACCTATTAGAGAAAAATATAAAAATGAAAATTAGCCACTTTTTTGTCACTTGGATCTACAGAGAAGTAAAAAGATTTGATTACATTGGATATTTAGGTAGGTATACTTTTGGATTAAACAAAGTGGCAAAAGGAGATTAATTGGGAATAATATCAATCGATTCGGTCATCATTTAGACTACTCGTAAGCAAGATTTTGATAAGAAAAGAAAATTTATTTTCAGAAACTTTTTTGACCTTCTAAAAACAGTAGCTAAAACTACCGTTATTCCGCAAAAATTAGAAGATTTCTCTCCGTCACTTGTAATATTTAAATTGAAACCTTTTATTCTCGTACTCATTTTCAACTACACATTCACACAATAAAATATTATGCACGTAAATCCAAAAATTTTTCCCACTTTTTAATCGCACTTCTATAATATATTAAATATCACATCAAATGAGAATCATTTTTTGGACGATTTTAACCCTAATACAATAATACCTTACTTTTCGTTTTTCAATATGTAATAAATATTATAAAATTTTTGTCATGTATGAATTTCATATTATTAATTCCCAATTAAGTAACATTTACATTAATCTAGACTCAATGAATCTTGATTGATGAATCTTTATCTACATGAATCTAGAGTTATTATAAATGAATTTATTTATCTAAAAATTTTAATGTGTGTTTAATTTCATGTAGTAGCAATTAATTCTTACAAAATTCTTGTCATGTATGAATTTCATATATTAAATATCACATTAAGTGAAAATCAATTTTTGGACGATTATAACCATATTACAATAATTTCTTACTTTTCGTTTTTTAATATGTAATAAATACTATAAAATTCTTGTCATGTATGAATTTCATGTTATTAATTCACAATTAATTAACATTTACATTAATATAGACCCAATGAATCTTAATTGATAAATCTTCATCTACATGAATATAAAGTTATCATAAATGAATTTATTTCTGTTCATGTATCTAAAAAATTTGAAGAGTGTTTAATTTCATGTTTTAGTAATTAATTCTTACAAAATTCTTGTCATATATGAATTTCATGTTATTAATTCTCAATTAATTAAAATTTGAATAATGCTATTCATCTACACGGGGATGAGCTACAGTTTATATGGAAATTACACGACATTATTAATGAAATGATAAATATCACATCAAGTGAAAATCATCTTTTGGACGATTTTAACCTTAGTGCAATAATACCTTACTTTTCGTTTTTAATATGTAATAAATACTATAAAAAATTTGTCATGTATGAATTTCATGTCATTAATTCCCAATTAAGTAACATTCACATTAATCTAGACTCAATGAATCTTTATTGATGAATCTTTATCTACATGAATCTAGAGTTATTATAAATGAATTTATTTATATTCATGTATCTAAAAATTTTAATAAATGTTTAATTTCATGTATTAGCAATTAATTCTTACGAAATTCTTGTCATGCATGAATTTTGTGTTATTAATTCTCAATTAATTAAAATTTGAATAATTTATTCATCTTCACTGGGGATGAGCCACAGTCTGTGGCAATTACATGACATTAAATGATAAACTCAATTAAATGAGTCATGTGACTTTGTATTTAAATGAATATATCATTTAATATCATATAGTTGCGACATAGATTGTGGCTCAACCCCAATGAGGATGAATATCATTACTCTTAAAATTTACATTAATCTAGACTCAATGAATCATTACTTGATGAATATTAATCTATGTGAATCTAGAGTTATTATAGATGAATTTATTTATATTCATGTATTTAGGTATTTTGATGGGTGTTTAAATTAGTTTATTAAAAATTAATACTTATGTACCAAATGTAGTATAAAAAAACTGCTCATTTATAGTATTGCATCGTAAAAAAATATAAATAATAGAAGTTGAATTTTGATAGCACAATTTTCTTCGCTTAAATTTATATCCTAAATTTTATTTTTTTAGTTCGTTTGAGACTTATCATATTCTCTTAACAAAATGATATAAAATATTATCTTTACAGCACTTATGAAAAGCATTTTAAAATAACGTACAATGCGCGTTCAACTTTAACTAATTCTTCATAAAAATCACTATACAAACAATCATTTACCTCTTATTTCTCCATGAAACAAGAGCTTACCATCATCTTCCAGATAATCCTTCAGAAATGACGTGTGACCTAGAATTATTATGATTAGCATTAACTGCTGGGAATTCGATTAGATATAGGATGATTCTCCAACAATTTATTATTAAGGCACCGTTTGGTAACCATTATTCTAGAAAAAAATGTATTCTTTGTGTCAAATCACACCTTTTTTGTGGTTGAAAATGAAGGAAAAGTTATTGATGTGATGGAAAATATTATTTTATTGATGAATGTGTGGTTGAAAATTAGTAGAAGAATGAGAAT